TACCGGTACCAGGCCGTCGTCTTCCAGTCGGGAGCGGTGGCGCAGCAGCTGTGCAGCGTCTGCGTCTTCGTCGTCACCTGGTGGTACATGGACGCCGGGATGCTGAGCCCGCAGGGGCTTTTCGGGATGGCCCTGGTCTCCTCCCTGCTTGGCTATGTCCTCTTTGATGCCGTGGACGGCGGGCGGACACGGTGGGCTGACCTCAAGAGCACACTGGTGTTCACTGCTTTCACCTATGGCTTCTCACCGGTGCTGAAGACACTTACTGAGTCCATCAGTACAGACACTATCTATGCCATGTCAGCTCTCATGCTTCTTGGTCACCTGATCTTCTTTGACTATGGTGCCAATGCTGCCATTGTCTCCAGCACACTGTCCCTCAACATGGCCATCTTTGCCTCGGTGTGCCTGGCCTCCCGCCTGCCGCGCTCCCTCCATGCCTTTGTCATGGTCACGTTTGCCATGCAGATCTTTGCCCTCTGGCCCATGCTGCAGAAGAAGCTGAAAGCCCAGACACCTCGATGCTATGTGGGGGTGACAGTGCTCTTTGCTGTTTGCGCTGGCAGCACTGGCAGGGCTGGCCACTATCTCCAGCGTGGGAGCCGTGCTCTTCACCTCACTGCTGCTGACCATCTGCGGCCTCTGCCCTTACTGCCTCATCCGCCTTCAGCTGCTCAAGGACAACATCCATGGGCCGTGGGATGAGGCTGAAATCAAGGAGGACCTCTCTAGGTTCCTCATGTAGGTCCCAGGGGCACCCTCTGCTGTGAGCAGTGCAAAGGTCCTTGCTGGGGGACAGCCATGGAAGGGAAGTGCACCTGTCCCAATAAAGCCTCTCACCCAGCAGTGAGGACCATGTTTGTGTTAGCATCTGTTTCCAGACCTGACCTGCTTTGTTTTGGCAAAGGAAGGAGTTGAACACTCCAGAGCAGGCAGCCCGTGTAGTCGCTCAGGGGCAGGCGAGTGAGGCACGGCGTGCTCCAGCCATGCAAACCCATACTTCCATTTGAGGGTGGGGGTAGAGGGAGTGTGGGCATCCCCTGAGCAGAAATGCCACTCAGAAACACTTACCTGACCAAGATAGGCCCCACAAGGTCCTCGGCCCCAGGGATCTTGACTTGTGGGATGGGGACTGGCAGTGCTGGAGGGGAAGGGGGCTGGGTGAGGGTCGCTGTGGGCAGGGCAGAGATGCAGGGTGGTGGGTGCTGCTGGACCTGCAGGATCGAGCACGAGGGCACTGGGATGGGTGGGTGAAGAGCCCCACTAACCTGCACCCTGCCAGTTGCTGATGCCAGAATAGCCTCATGACACTGCCAGACACTACATTACCCTAAATTCTTTAGGAGAGGGAGGTGTGAGGGAGCAAAATGCCTTCCTGCCCTCTCTAACCCCCACCCAGAGGTATTGCGGCCCCCGGAGCCAGAGTGATGCAGCTCAGTGCAGACCCCTGCGGGTGCACCTGGATGCCAGGCTGCTTGGGACAGTGGCAGGGCCCACCGAGGTCCTGCGAGACACCGTCTGTCCTGCAGCCGTCTGTCCGGCACCACAGACACCACAACAGAGGGCGCTCCCGGCAAACAAGTCCCGCTGGAGCTGGAGAGGCCAGGCCCGGTTCCC